CCCGTCCTGCTGCTTCGGGAGCTGGGGCCGACGCTCCAGATAACGTCTCCGTGTCCCCTCTCTCCTTGTCTTCAAGAACATGCTGCTCTTGGGGAAAGCCGCGCAGCCGGTGTGCAGCCTGAGCAAGCTGCCGCCGGGCGCCTGCAGACACTTCTGGGGATGGCTGAATGCCGTGTTCAACAAGTAAGAGTGATTCGGCGTGCGCAAGGCAAGCGACGGGGCCGCGTATCCACCTTGCGGTGCGTGAGGCAGAGAGAACGAAGGCCCAGGAGCAGAGAGAACATTCTTTATTATTACGAGTGCTCTCCTTTTCCCCCGATCGCATGTCCATGCTTGGCAGGGTCGTTCCTTTCCTTCCCCGTTTCCAGTTACAAAGCTGTGGCCTTGCAGGGGAAGGCGTGTGCTTTGCTCCCCTCCCCGGGGTGGCGGAGGCAAGCTGGCGATGCGGAGTCTCTCCCTAAATGACGCCCAGATGCATTTAAACCAGTAGCACAACTGCGTCCCCTTTGCTTGTTCAGAAAAGCATCCAAGCAACCCATCGGTTAGAATGCGATTCAGCCACGCAAAGGTTCCACATTAGCTTTTAGAAAGATAGAGCCTTTCTCTGTGGAACTCTTTCTCTGCCCATAGCTTATGCCAGTAGCTAATGGTTTTGCCTTACGTCTTTCTAGCTCTGTGGAAAGGGTTGCTTGGTGTAGCTGGTTGCTGTAATGGGGCGGGGAGCTCAGCCAGGCAGGAGTCTCTCCAGCATCCCTCACTAGACTAAGAAAGAGATCCCTGTCCTGAACGGACCCAAGGATTTTAACTAATTGCCGAAGCGTGTCCTAGTGAAAAATTGTAATTGTTGAGGAAAAAAGGCTTCAGGAATGATGTACACGTGTCAGGCGACGACAGGTTTTTATGTAAGCAAAATATGTTTGGGAGACACATTTGCAATTGTTGTAAAGCCTTCTGGGTAGAGAAAGGCCTTTTTTTATCCCTCCTTACAGACATGGAAGGGAACAATCAGCTCGAAGGGTTAAGTCAAGTTGCATTTGTATTCTTTCCCTTTTTACCAAAAGCATCTGCCATTTAAAACAAGTTAAAAACCCCTCATGCCAGACTGATTAAAAACCAGCACCATCCAAATAATTATATATAAACCACTTCTCCAACGTCTTATCGTGCAAGTTACCAAATAGTTGTTGTGCAGCAGTATTGTTGTCAGGACAATAAATCTGCCACATTATAAAGGGTTTTCCTGTCTTGGCAGGGTGGACTACGAACGTATACAAGCCGTCGGCCCGGACAGGGCAGCTTCCGAGTGGCTGTTGCGATGCGGTGCCCTGGTGCGCTATCAAGGCTATCAGAAGTGGCAGCAGGACTACAACGGCCTCCCAACGGGTCCCTTGGGGAAATACAAGATCGAGGCAATTAACGCCACTGACTCTTGCATCATGTACAGAGGATTTGACTATTTGGGTAACGTAGACAGAGCTGTGCAAAGATGGTACTGACCGTAGTTCTTTCAGTTGCAGCAAAATATGAATAACGGGGTCATTTTCTCGTTCCTTAGTAAGATACAAAGAAATCTTTTGAGGTTTTTTTCCCCCTTAAAATGGCTCTACAAATATCCAGATTTTGCTGGAGGTGTGGTGTGAAGCAGAAGGAGATTGGGAACTTCATCAGCCCTTACCTGTTTCCTTGAGTTCATAGTTAAGTAGTTGGTAGCAAAAAGCGCTATTTAAATGTGCTTTTTCTTCTAAACCAAGTGGGTTTTGGTGTCTGAAGTCCTACTACTACTTGTTCTCCAGGCATTTGTGATGTCTTCAAAGAGAAAAAAAAAAGCAACAAGCTCTCAGTTTCTTACAAAACAAGAGATTTAAAAAGTGTTTCAGGTCTCCTTTAAATAAGAAAAACCAAAATGGGGAACAGACCATTTTATTTTTGGCAGAGGACCTTGAATTTCCTGCATCAGTATGTTCCTAAGTCAGAGTCGTTGTTTGTCACCCAAACTTGTGGAGTTCTTTTGTTACTTGCCCATGTCAAAGCTCTCAGCACCGCACCGAAAGGATACGAACCCTGGGGTTTTCGTGTATCCGAAGCACCGCAAAGGGACTTTGGGGAGTCAGTGTGTGTCACAGCGCCCCGCTGTACAAAGGAGCGTGTTGCTGTGTGGCTTTGGAGGCCGTGAGTTGAGGACTTCACCACCAGCACAGGCCGCTCCCGGTGTTCTGAAGCAAATATTCATTTTTGTCGTTCCAGACGGTCTTGAACACGTTACAGAAATCAAGCTGCAGAAGTGTATTTACATACAGGACGAGTGTCTGCAGCGGCTCAGCGAGACGAAGAACTTACAGAAGAGCCTCCTCCAGCTGCAGATCATTTCCTGCGGGAACGTCACCGATAAAGGCATCCTTGCGCTTCACAAGCTGGCGTACGTGAGCTGCCGAGCCTCGGTGGTTACCACCCCGCAGCGCGGGGATTGCGCTGACTGGAGGGGCCGAGGTCTGAATGCTCCTGGGCTGTTCCAGGCCTGGGGGGTGGCTGGGTCGGGAGTGACCTGCGTGACAGCTGGGGAGGGGTGGCACTGCCACCGCAGGAAAGGTCCCTTCAGGCGTGGGTGAAGGGCAGCTCCGATCAACCAGCCTTTCGTGGCGGGTGTTGGGGAGCTGCGCGGCGCTGAGGCCTGCAGCTGAGGATGCCGGAACCGTCCGCTGCAGTAGGGGAGTCCGTAGCTGCGCTACTGCCTTCAGAGCCGGGCGCAGCATCTCCCACCTACACCTGGAGTAACTTCCACGGTGTTGATCGCCGCACAGATGCGCAGGACACGCGCGCTCTGCCGACACGCAGCCTTGGCAAGAGCAGGGACCGTGTGCCGCTTCCTTCCCCGCTGGCACACGAGGTGGGTCATCCTTGAGCAGAAGTGATAACTGACCTCCTCGGTTTCTACTCCTGCCCCCCGCCGCAGTCCCTTTCCGGGGAGGCCGTGCCGGCGTCCTGTCACTTTTATTGTTGACACCGCCCGCTGCTTCCGATCGCTCGGTTACCTCCTGCTCACGGGAGCTCTCAGGGCAGAGCTGTTTTCCGGCGTGTGGGAAGCAGCGGGCGTTGGATGCTGTGCCCCTCCATAGCCTCATTAAGGGGGGGGTTGTCCAGGATCTCTGCCTTTAAGCTGTGCAGAAGGGCTGAACTTAGGGTGAGCTAAAAACTATAGAGCACCCACTTCAGAAAAAACCTGCCATTAGAACCAGTAACCTTTTAAAATACTTGGGACAACTACGGTAGATTAATCCTTTGTCTAATTTCTGTGTCAACAGTTAAATAGTAGTTGCTGACTTTTCTTTTTAAATATTTATAGGAACCTTGAATATTTGTATCTGAGTGACCTTCCTGGAATAAGAGAGAAAGACACCACTGCTCACATCCTGCGGCAGGCGCTGCCAAACCTCGAGCTGGAGCTGGATTTAGAATAAACGCAATCGCACGTCATCGAGGTGTATTTGATTTCATAGTCTGTATCCTATGTTGCATAAATGAAGCTGTAGACACTACGGTATTTCCAGGTATGGAAATAAGCCCGGATCTCCCAATCCAGCCTTAAAAGCTCCGTGGAATCCTTCACGCAGTGAAGTTTTATTAAGCTTAAACTATGTGGTGAGCCAACAACAGAGAAGGTGGGCTTCTGTGCAGAGCCCTTTTTCCCCTGGTTTCCTGGGAAGCTGTTGATACAAGAGAAGTTCTCCAATATTTTATTGCATGGAAATCCTTGTGCGAAATGACAGTGGGAAGAACTTTCTGGGAAAAGAAAACCGTTTTGCTGTAGGTTTCAAGTCGAAAGACAATGTTCCTTGCCCAGCAGTAAAACTTTGCACAGTAAAACACATCCAGTACGTTGGAAAAACGAGCTGCGTTTCTTTTATTCAAGCTCAATACACCAGCACATCCAGAGATTACACAAAACCCAAGGATCAGTCTAACACACGTGCTTAGGTAGGATCCCTGCCTGCGTCCGGCCAACCTTATATGAGTGAATTACTTTTGATAAAAAACTATTTTGGTAACACTACGGGCAGGTGACTTCACTAGTGACAGAAACAGCAAATAAAACCAAGGAATGCAAGGAAGAAACAGGCAGGAGAAACTCTGAAAAGACGACAGAAACAGCAGGTTTTGCTGTTTGGATGTTCTCCTCCTGGTAGCAGTGCCTTCCTTGAGTCTAGGTCGTCACCGGCCCCTCTAACGCTCTGTGACCGCTCGGTGCGGTACGTGAGTCTCTACAGCAGTGCTGTCCCAGCAGGTCCCAGCTAACTGGTGCAATCAGGCGGCCTCTCCCCAGGCTTGGCTCCGCCAACGCACACGTCTGCCTCCAGCAGCACGTTCGTGGCTCCCGGCGGGGCTGGGACTTGGCCCCACCAGAGCGGTGCTGCTGCTTGGGCACAGCGGGGCTCCGACTGATCTGGCAAGGGTGCAGCTCTTCTGCCGGGTCTGAGCCGCAGGTGGTGGGTAGGCAAGGGTGTTGCAATTCAGGCTGTGAACACTGGGTTGCAGTCATCCTGGACCAGTATACAACCCTGGACCAGATCCCAACCCTGAACCAGTATACAACCCTGAACCAGTACACAATCACAAATTAAAGCAAAACAAATGCATTTCCCTTTGTACACAGACCAGTGACTCACGTGAGCTCGGAGTTCTCCCTGTGCATCACTTTCTTTCCATTCCTGACCCGGCGTACAGCACCTCACAGACCATTTTGTGCATGTCATGACAGGTACTAATTTAGTTTTCCACCACGTATCCTCCTTTTGTAAATTCGGAATGACTTGAACTTTGAACAATAAATAGTTTTCAATCTGCCATCGGTTAGATGTTGGGGAAATGGTAGTTTGATTTCCTTGTTTTGCAGCAGCACTTCTTGCTGTCCAAAGCCGGCAGAAGGTTACTGCTGGTTAACTGCGGCAGGTGCTGCAACTGAAGGAGACATCACACAGTGGGGATTTGTTGGAAATGAGATCAAAGCATGCACTTCATTTGTCAAAAGGGAATATAAGCCATAAACTACTCATACTGGAACCCTGTGCTAAGATAAGAGTCATGGATCTGGTGTTCT